TATACACCATATACTCTGCATGGAATATCCCATCACCTCACTTAACACTTGCATTGATAGGTATTGCTGTTAATTTCATTTTACGGGTAAGAATGCTTCAGAGGACAGAGAGGATGTGCAACTTTCCAAAGCCACACAGTAAGGGGCAGAAATGGGATTTGAACCCGGGGGTGTGGCCAACTAACAATCCATAAATCTAACTCCTTAGCAAACATTAAATCTCTTGTCCATCCATGGACTCCACCACTTATTTTGAGTTCCTGCCCTGGCCAGTGGAGGGAGACACTACAGAGCTTTACACTTGCAGCCATCTCTACTTCTGCGGCCTGGCAGAAGAGATTTTCATGAGGGGTATTCCTTGCAGCCCCTTGAACCCTATCTCTTCTTTTTTTAACTATTAATTAATGTATTTATTTTGGCTGGGTCGGGTCTTAGTTGCTGCACGTGGGCTCAGCTGCACATGGGATCTTAGTTCCCCGACCAGGGATCGAACCTGCACCCCCTGCGTTGGATCAGCAAGGAAACCCCCCTTCCCTCTTCTTGGGGCATTATTATCTCTGTTGAAATTCCTCAGAGCAATGGTGAAAGTCTTAGAGTAAGGACCTAACTGCATGCTTCCTGCCAACTGGAGCAAGTGAGGGAACATCCCGGTTACGCCAGGCTGGGTAGATGAAAGTTCTGTCAGCAGGAAAGCCTGCTGCGTCATCCTCGGTGAGTGAGTTAGGACTGGATGGCTGTCCCCGGGGCTACAACTTCCAACACTGGCAACACAGATGGCTTCCTTTTGACCTCCCAGGTAGTATTCCAGGTACAGAAGGCGTGCCCCTTGAAGAGTGGACATGTTTTGGGGTACAGGAGCTTGGGGAAATGTTTGAGGTGCGCCTGCTGGGAATTAACAGAGAAGATCTTTTTAGTTCAATGCCAGTCAAGCTGTTTTCTGCCCAGGGACTTGGTTTCAGGTCCCTAGAGAAATAAGGATGTAAAGGGATTACTAGTGAATCAAACAGTAAAGCAGAGCTGGGCAGCCTAGGAAAGGGAGGGGCAAAGCTGTCGAGCTTGTGCTTTCAGAGAGGACTGTGGCCCAGATATTTCAGTATCTTCCCCTTTAGCAGGCTGTGGCTGTTGGCCTTGTCCCGGCCTGGCACAGGCCCGAGTCCTCCCCAGGCTGGCTCAGCCTGACTGGCCCTGTCCGGCCCACCTGCAGCTCCCCCCTAAGCCCTCGGCCTGCCCAGAGCCTGCGGGCTCCACCCCGGGCAGCCTCGTCCTTTGCAGAGGGCCTGGGCAAGGCTGCAGTTTCCCCTCTCTGATGCCCTCCATGGTCTCCTGGAGCTGCAGGAACTCCTGGGCCCCTGGAGGGAGAGCTGCCCGGAGAACCGCGAAGTCCTGGCCTCCCCCTCTGCTGACCGCATGGACCACCGGGTCACCAGCAGTGAGCGTCACTCACTGTCCATGGTCTGAACTGAGAAGGCGGGGTGAAGTCTCTCTTCCTGCTGGCTTTCTGCTCCAGGCTTAGCCTTTCTCCCAGAGAGGGGAGATCAGGACTCTCTGAGCCCTGCATTCTCTACCTTCCTTGTCTTCCATCTGTGATCTAAGTGACTCACGAATAGCCTCTGGATTTTAGTTGCCTCATTTGGTCCATTCTCACTTTCTTCTTCCTACAATCCCATCAGTTAAAAGAGTTGAGCTTTTCTTTTCTTTTTTTTTTTTTTTGGTTGCACTTTGTGGGTCTGCAAGACCTTAGTTCCCTGACTGGGGATTGAATTTACGCCCCTTGCAGAGGAAATGCAGAGTCTTAACCACTGGACTGCCAGGGTGGACTCTCTCATTTCCTTGAAGCATGGACCCTCGAAGCGAGAGGTCTTGTGTACTGGCCATCATGGGCAGAAAGGGTGGCTTTCACAGAAAGAACCTGTGAATCAGTCCCCCAGGCTTAACCTTCCTGTAGTTAAAAAAGAATTCCACAGTTAACAGCTGCAGCAAACTCTCATTCCCTCTCCCCATAAAGCCTGATTTTCTTGTCTTTCTAAGAGGGCAAATACACTCTATCTATGGCCCTGAGGCTTAGCAATGGCTCCTCCTCAGAAGGGAGAGATGCAATAAAAGGCGACTCAAGGGCAAAATGTGCCTGCTAACACTTGCAAACCATGTTTTAAAAACTGTCGTCCTGTAACTGTTCCCTGAAGGCCCCCTCTGTAGTGAAGAGCAGCAGGTACTTCAATTGGGAGCATGTTTCTGCTGAAAGTTGATTCACGATTTACTCAGATGAAACCATTCCTCTTCAGTACCAGGTGTCCCTAATCCGAGTCCAGTCAATGGAGGTCTTACCCACCGGCCTCTGGCGAGCAGTTAACCCTTTCCAGCACACAGCAAGTGCTTTCATCCAGGAGACCGTTTGAGACACACGCAGTGGAAAAGCTGTTCATCCTGCAGTTGGGAAACAAGCCGCTGTCTTCCTTGTACCAGTCTTAACCTCTGTTTTTGTTTTACTTTTTTAGTTTTTGCCTTCTGCGTTTTAAGGGAACTTAAAAGGACTCCCTTAATAACCTCTCTGACCTTCCATTTCCTCCTTCAATTAGATGCCCTTGTAAAGGATCACTGTCAGAATTTATATTGTTATTTAAAAAACAAAACCCAAAAAAAGCAACAAAGAAGCCCCCCCCCTTCGGCATTCTCCATCCATAATGTTGTGCAATGCCGCCCCCTTGTGTTTCCTTGGGGTTCATCTAGTTTTAAAAACTTAAATTCTTCATTTAAAGTTGATTGAAAATTTTAATTTAAAAATTAACTTATTATGCTCAACTCCCAACTGTTCCTGATATCTGGTTTAAAAAATAAATGAAAAGACACTCCCTTATAACTGCCAACCCCACTCCATTTAACCAGTCACCCTCCATTTGGAGAGCTGAGGACACTCAGACGGACAGTCCTGTTATAGCCCATCTGTCACTTGGGCACATGTTGTCCTTGTTTTGGGGAAACTGTGGAAAACATGGTCTAAACCCAAATTCCAGTGGCCTAAGAGCACTTAAGGACCTTAAAATGATTTCCACTGTGCACTTCCCTCAGTGAGATTCAGTAAAAATCATATTTTTGAAAACCAGTGTTTTAATAGAAGTATAACACATGTACAGAGAACACGCAAACCGGAAGTGTGGGGAATTATCAAGACCTGCACCCACGCTGTCCCCGGCCGAGGCGGGAGTCATCTCCCACATCACCGGGGCCCCGGGCTCCCGAGGTCCCTAGTCCCCGCGCCCCAATCCCTTCACAAAGGTGCCTGCTGGGCTGGCGTCTGATGCCACAGGTGCCCGAGGCGGGGGCAAGGGAGCAGTGTGTGTCTTCATCTGGGGCGAGTGTGGGGGGTGATGCCACATTTTATGTGTTGCACATGTAACATACAGTACATACCACACATAATGTATGTTACACATTACATATCAAAGTGGGGGGGGGGTGTGGGCCTCCTGGTGGTGCTAGTGGGAAGAGTCTGCCTGCAATGCAGGCGATCCGAGGACCCGGGTTGGATCCGTGGGTCGGGAATGTGCCCTGGAGAAGGAAATGGCAACCCTCTCCAGTGTTCTTGTCTGGGAAATCCCAGGGACAGAGGAGGCTGGGGGCTACAGTCCATGGGGTCGCAAAGAGTCGGACACGACTGAGGATGAATGCACCCTCAGTCAGCAAGGATGGCTGGCTGGCTGGATGGTTGGATGGAGGGTGATATCACATCTTACATATTACATATATAAAAATACACTGAGACATCATACACAAAAATAAACTCAAAACAACTTAAAGACTTAAATATATGATATGACACCATTAAACTCTTAGAGAATATAGGCAAAACATTCTGACATGAATCAAGACAGTATTTTCTTAGCTCAGTCAGCCTCCCAAGGTAAAATAAATAAAAGCAAAAATAAGCTAATGGGGCCTAATCAAACTTAGATATTTTTGCACAGAAGGAAACCATTAATAAGACAAAAAGACAACCTACGGACTGGGAGAAAATATTTGTAAATGATGTGACCAACAAGGGCTTAATTTCCAAAATATATAAACAGCTCGTGCAGCTCCATATCAGATAAACAAGCAACCCAACCAAAAAGGTGGGCAGAAGACCTAAACAGACATTTCTCCAGAGAAGACATACAGATGGCCCAGAGCATTTTATAGTAACTTACATGGGAAAGAATCTGGAAGAGAATATGTGTGTGTGTATACATGCACACGTGTATACATGCACATACTTATGTATAAAACGGAGTCACTCTGCTGTGCAGCTGAAGCCAGCGTGACATCGTAAATCAATCATACTCCAATTCTTAAAAAAGGGAAGAAAACAATACATTGAGCTCTGTGCTTGTTTGTGCATTTTGCTGCATGCAAATTGCACCTCAGTAATTAATTCCAACTTTTCTAGTTGGTTCTCAATGGTAGACCTGACTCAGAATAGCCATGTTATGTGAACACCTTCCGTAAGCACAGTACGATCATCAAAAGCAGGAAATTAAAATCATTACCATGCTGTTAACTAAAATGCAGACCACATTCTAATTTCATCAGCTTTTCAATTTCTGTCCCTTTTCTGTCCCGGGTCCTCTCCAGGACCCCGAAGGACACTGAGAAGTGATGTCTCCTTCGTCCACTCCATTCCGGGTCAGTTCTGGCCGGCACCTTCTGTTTCAGACCCGCAAATCCAATCACGCCTGGAGTTTCAAGGTATCTACCGGCTTCCTTGGAGAGTGGGTCCTAGACGCCCTCATTTCAGCAGGCCGTCTCTTCAAGCCCATGTCATCCTGATGCAGCCACCCGCTGTCCCCGAGGACACCTTTCCCCTCGCCTCTCCCAAGGACTCGCCGCCAGGGCAGGCCGACTCCACTCACCCGGACTCAGGGAGTGAGGTGGCCTCTGTTGCGTGAGCCTAGCAATGCGAGCGATGCCTGCCCTGTCACCTTGACGGGCTCAGCAGCGGCGCCCACCGACAGCTAGCGGCATTGTCACTTTTCTTTGTCAGTTTCCTCGCGGGAGCCAGGGCGGGACGAGCCGGGGATGGCTGAGACTGCGTCGCCGTGGCCGGAGCCATCCGCTGTGTCTGGAGAGGTGAAACAGGATGGAGGTCGGAACACACAGGTGAGTGTGAGAGAACAGCCGGTGCGGGGCAGGGAGCAGGGCTTGCACCCCGTAAGGTCAGAGTCTTTCTGCAGCGCATCGTTCATTTGTTGGCGGCTCTGGCCTGTGTTGCTGCGTGTGGGCCCGCTCTCGTCGTGAGCGGGGCACGTCCTTTGCCAGGAGCCGCCTGCCCGCAGCGATGGTTTCTCTGCTGTGGAGCACGTGCTCGGGGCGGGAGGGCTCAGTGGGTGCGGCTCCTGGGCTTGGCTGCTCCATGGCGTGTGGCGTGTTTCTGGACCAGGGATCGGGCCTGTGTCCCCTGCATTGGCAGGTGGATTCTTAACCACTGGACCCCTGGGGAAATCCCCGTGAGGATCTTAGTACTTGCTTCAGGCTCTGTTTCCTAGATAATGTCATTGTAGACGAAGGATTTATTTAAAATCATGATGGCTCATGTCTCAAAATGAACCTATGTCATGCCAGGCACTGAGTCAAGCACTTTCTCTGGATTATTTCATACAAACCTCCCAGTGGTCCAGTAGAGTGACCTTATCTTGCAGCTGAGGCAATCAACCCGCAGAGAAGTTCGATAACTTGTAGGATGCTCTGTTTTAGGAACACGCTGTCCTTCTGCCCCAGTGTATATAGGATTTCTCGGAGAACTTGCTTACCAGGGCACCGCAGTATTAAGGACTTGGACATTCAGTGTCTATATGATTCATGCAAAAAGGATTCTATCCAAGGAATTAAAGACATAATACTTAATTGTAAAAGGTTGAGAAGGTTTTGTCTGAATGAGGAGCTTATTAAAATGTAGACGAGCATAGAACAAACTTGCTTGCCTTTTGTGGTGATGGTGTAGTATTGGGAAAAAGACAATTTTGTGTGAAAGATAAACCCATGAAAAGTTAAGAGTTAATTCTGGGGGAAAAGATTGTCCGAGTCAGTTTATATGAGTGACGTAGGTAGGTTTTGGTCCATTATTGGGTTTTTACAGAATAATTTGAGCAGGTTGAAACCAGCTTCAAAAAATAAACGAAAGAAGAAACAAAATCTTAAGAAACAGGACACTAGAGATGATCTATTTATACCTAGCAAAAGCGGGTATTGCTTTGTGAAGCTTTTCTTTGTAACTGTGTTAGAGTGTGTGTGTGTGTGGTGGCGGAGTGGCCACTAAGCTGTGTCCAGCTCTGTGTGGCCCCATGGACGGGAGCCTGCCAGGTTCCTCTGTCCCCGGGATTTCTCCAGGCATGAACGCTGGAGGGGCTGCCATTGCCTTCTCCAGGGGTCTTCCTGACCCTGGGGTCGAACCCGGGTCTCTTGAGCCTCCTGAACTGCAGTTGAATTCTTTACCACCAAGTCAGTGATACAAATTTGTTTTCATTGTGATGAAAAATGTTTTTAAAACACTGACAAATTTGGTGACAGCATCACCAAATGTTTTAAGAACAAAATGTTTTTGAAATCAAAGATGTGTGTGTTCAAATATTTACCCAGTGATAAGTTTTGTAAGAATTTTAGTCTAATCCATTTGCTCACTTGCTGCTCTCCAAAGGGAGAGTCTTGTGGAAGACATTTAGAGACTCTTTTGAAGTCTCTTTTTGTGAGGAAGACTCTGTCTCTTAATGCTTGCGAAACATCACTAACAGTTCTTGGAGGCTCTGCTCCAAGTATGCTTTTGCACATGATGGATGGGGCCCCACAGACCTCTGCACCTGGTTCTCACACGCCATCCATCATAGCATCTCTCTCATCCTCTCCGCACCGATGAGGACCTAAGGACCTCTGCACCTGGTTCTCACACGCCATCCATCATAGCATCTCTCTCATCCTCTCCGCACCGATGAGGACCTAAGTTTGCTCAGGGACTTGGGCTGGTACTTGACTCAGACTCTGACATATTGTTGGTCCAGAAGATGTTTATTCTCAGAATCATTTCTTTCCAGATGATTCATACCTGAGGCCAACAAAGCATCCAAGTTTTAGGGAAATTCTTGCACAGGAGAAGACGGGGAGGTCATCTAGTGAGATGGAAAACAATTGAACTTTGAAGGAATCTGAACTCCCTTTTGGCAAGCACCCTCCCTTTTTCCAGGCTCACTGCCCAAGCAGAGATGCACTCGGCCTCTTGCAGGTGTCAACATGATGCAGTAGGAACCATTTCATGGCAGAAGTGGAGGCTGGAGGAGGCCTGGCTTAAAATCAAAACAGATAGTCTGAGGATGGAGGGAGATCCAACTTCTTAATGTTGCCCCAACACTTGTGTTTACAACTAGATTCCTCTTCCCTGGAATTTTAATTTTTACTCCTGGAGCAGAGAACATTTTAAAATGCTTTCAGACTCAGAAAAGACCCACCCACAAATTAAAAAAAAAAAACTGTAGAAATTAGAAAAGACAAGCACAATAATTATAGAGAGCATTAGCAACAGAGAGAAACAAAAAGAAGAAAATGTATCTTATCTCACAACCCATGGGAAGCTGTGGTTTACACCTTGGCATATATTTTTCCAGAGCTTTTTCTCATGCACATAAGACACAAGTTGTTTGTTTTGCTCTTGTGATTATCCCTGTCATTTAAAATTCAAGTGTAGGAGACTCCCTGACAGTCCAGTGGTAGAGACTCCATGCTTCCACTGCAGGGGGCACAGGTTCAATCCTTGGTCAGGTAACTAAGATCCTGCAAGCCGGTAGAGTGGCCAACAAAGAAAATTAAATAAAATCATTAAAAAAATAAAGTTCACATGTAGTGATGATCATTCCTTAGGATAATTTCTAGAAGCATAATTTCTGCATTTCCTGAGTCAGAGATCACACACATTTTGAAAGTCTTCTCCCTTAGAGTCAGTTTTCCTATATACTCCCACCAAACTCTGAGAGATGGTGGACAGGGAGGCCTGGCGTGCTGCAGTCCATGAGGTCACCAAGAGTCGGACACAACTGGGCAACTGAACAACAACCTAGCCATCCTTTCCCCTCTAACTTTTACACGCAACCTGGATGAATGTTGAGATTCACAGTACTGCTGTTGTTCCACTATAGTCTATAACATCCCATTTTGTTGAGGAATTATTTTGTGAAAGACAATATCTGATCATTTTTCTGCAGGGTAGCAGAATATGCCATCCCCAAATATGACACTTTGGTATAAAGATTCTTTTGAACTGAAGGCAAATGAGAAGAAGCAGGTACAGGAAAAACTCTCCACCCTCCCTTTGTTTAAGAGCAGAATACAAACTTACAAAGGTGTCCCTCCCCGCTCTTCTGTTCCATACAGGGCAGAAGTCATTCGCCAGAGACAGCTCTAGTCCCTTATGAGTTTATGAGATGGCATCAGAGGAATCTACATAACAAACCTCACTAGACCTTTTCTTTTATTTTTTTAACCAAACAGTTTAGTCTTTGCAGAAGACCACAAGAGTGAAACACCCATACTAGTGTCCAAGTAGTAGCTAATCTGTTCTGAACAGGGTTTAATCTTTGGCTCCTATATATAGGCTCCGGTCTCTGAGAGCTTCAGTTCAAAGCACGGGGACTGGAAACATAAGCTTGAATATTGAGGGGCGGGTTTGCACCCCTGGAGCATCAGTATGTGACACGTGATTTGTCCTTAAGCTGTTGGATCACCTTGATTCTCTTCTGAAGGTGTTTCCAGCTGTGATGCCAGGGTTCCTGAAGCCCCTGGAGCCTCCGCTCCTCCTCTGTAAAACACCATCAACGAGGATGACTCCCCTAGGGCAGCTGTGAGGAGGAAGCTGCCCAACACACCCTGAACACTCATCATCAAAGGCTACACTGATGGCAGTGATGATGGTGATGATGATGGGGATGGTGGGGATGATGGGGATGACGGTGATGGTGATGGGGGTGATGATAGTGATGATGGGGATGATGGCAGGGATGATGGGGATGGTGATAGTGATGAGGATGATGATGGAGATGATGGGATGATGATGGTGATGATGGGATGATGATGGTGATGGAGATGATGATGGGGATGATGGAGATGGTGGTGATGATGATGATGATGGGAATGATGAGGATGATGATAGTAATGATGGGGATGATGATGGGGATGATGGTGGTGATGGGGATGATGGGGATGGTGATGATGGTGGGGATGATGGGGATGGTGATGGTGATGACGGCAGGGATGTTGGGGATGATGGAGATGATGATGGGGATTTGGGGGTGATGGGGATGATGGTGATGATGATGGGGATGATGGTGATAATGATGGTCATGATGGGGGTGATGGGGATGATGGTGGGGATGATGGGGATGGGGATAATGGTGATAATGATGGTGATGATGATGATGATGGTGATGGTGATGATGGGGATGATGATGTGGATGATAGTGATGGTGATGATGGTGGGGATGATGGTGATAATGATGATGATGGTGGTGATGATGGGGATGATGGTGGGGATGGTGGAGATGATGGTGATGGGGATGATGGTGATGATGATGATGGTGGTGATGATGGGGATGATGGTGGGGATGGTGGAGATGATGGTGATGGGGATGATGGTGATAATGATGGTGACGATGGTGATGATGGTGGGGATGATGGTGATGGTGATGATGGTGATAATGATGGTGATGATGGTGGGGATGATGGTGATAATGATGATGATGGTGGTGATGATGGGGATGATGGTGGGGATGGTGGAGATGATGGTGATGGGGATGATGGTGATAATGATGATGATGGTGGTGATGATGGGGATGATGGTGGGGATGGTGGAGATGATGGTGATGGGGATGATGGTGATAATGATGGTGACGATGGTGATGATGGTGGGGATGATGGTGATGGTGATGATGGTGATAATGATGATGATGATGATGGTGATGATGGGGATGATGGTGATAATGATGATGATGGTGATGGTGATGATGGTGGAGATGGTGGGGATGATGGTGATAATGATGGTGATGATGGGGGTGATGGGGATGATGGTGGTCATGACAATGATGCTCACTAAACCTTTTATGTACTATAAAGTTGCCCCATGTGTTTGTAGTCCCACAGTTTGCCATCCCTAGAAACTCAATCTTTTTTGCTGTGTCACTTCTTTTAAAATGTATTGCTCTTTTGTTAAGATGTTCTACAAGTCCAGGTTCTAACCACTTTGAATTACTCATCACTGGATACTCCCATATATATGCACAATGCACATGTTAATATTGGCTTGTTTTTCTCTTGTTAATCAGATTTTATTGGAGCCCTAGCTGGAGAACCTACAATAGACAATAGAAAAAAATTCATCCTCCAGACCCCCAAATGTAAATATTTTTTATTTGTATGCCATATAATTAAAATGAGCTGAGGAGATAATTTTAATACATCTCAGATACTGTGAACTGATATTGATGAGTACAGCAGTTTAGATGTGTGAGTATAACCAGAAAGCACAGAGTCAGCTCTTTCAGACAAAGCATGACCAATTGCAGGACTTGCCTGGTGGCCCAGTGGTTCAGAATCCGCCTTCCAATGTAGGGGACACGGGTTTGATCCCTGGTCAGGGAACTAAGATCCCACATGATGCTGGGAAACCATGGAGCTCATGCACAACTAGAGAAGCCTGCATGTCACGTGCCACAATGAAGACCCAGCACAACTGAAAAAAAGGGAAAAAAAAGAAAAATGATCAACGGATGGGGAGCTTGTCTTCTAACAGGTATCTCTGAAAGGCAACATTGCAGGGGAAAAAAAGTTACAAGATAGGAGAGGCAATTTACAGTTTCATTCTTAACCGAATTTCACAGGAGAAATCCAAACACATTCTACTTTTAGCTCAAATTTTACTTTCTTAGTGGAGCCTTCTGTATCAGTCAGGGTGCAGAGAAGCAGAACCATTAGCAGATAAACACACTGGCAAGAACTAAGCAGTCTTTGTAACACCGTGTCTGGACAGAGTGTTTATCTTGGCGTTTAAGAGTTCTTTACACATTGGTCGTATTAGTTCTTATCTGCAATATATGCCACAAATATTTTCTTCCACTTTTTAATTTGTCTTTTGACTTTGCTTATAGAGTTTTGTGCCCTGTAAAGTTTCTTTTAAAAATATTTTAATGTTTATCTAGTTGAATTCATGAATGTTTTATTTTACTGGACTTTTTAGATGTCTTTAGAGTTTCCTTCCAGATTTCAAATGAATGCACCTCTTTTCTTCCAATATTTGCATGGCTTCATCTTTATCATTGGAGTTCTTACCTGTTTGCTGTTTTTTTTCCTTTTGTACAGGTGAGTTGGGGATACGATTTTATCTTTCTTAAAGGCTTTCCAGTTATTTTGGTCCAATGATTGGAGGTGTCAACTTTATCATACATCACATTTCTATGTATATATGTATGTATGTATGTATGTATATTTGTACTTTGTAGCCTAATCTGATCCATGTCCTACTCATGAGTTAGGCCCATGTTCTTGGCCTTAACTGGCTTTCTGATGTATTTGACTCTCAGTGATTTCTGCCAATCACCACACCTCAGTGTTTCCTTGGGTATTCTCACTTATTTATTTTTCATGTGATTTTTAATATTAATTTATCTCATTTTAAGATAAAAGCTTTTTGGTATCTTTATGGAAGCTTTATAACATTTTTAAGGTCAACTTATGAAAAAATTACATCTTTATGGTACTGAGTCATTTTATTGAAGAACAAGGGATGCCTGTCCATTTAAGTTTATGTCTTCCAGGAATGTTTTAGCACTTTTTCATGTAGATTTTCTAAAATTCATGTTGAGCTTACTTCTAAGTAATTTTTCTTTCTTTCTTTCTTTCTTTCTTTCTTTTTTTGCTATTGTAAATGGGATTCACAGTTACATTCTTGTGTGTGTATGAAGTATATTAATTTTGTTTGTTAATTTTATATTTTGCTATTTTTCTGATTTTTAAAATTGTATGTTTTCTAGTACTGATTCTCTAGAACCACTGAGTTTTTAACTTTTAAACAGTTTTTTCTTTTCTCAAAATGCCTTTTTTCTTCCCAATCTGCCTAGTAATTTTTATAATCTCTTGTTCATACTTATATTCTTAATTACATCTTTTGTTTTATAAGCATTTTAAAATAGCTTATTAGTTCCACTATCTAAAGTTTTTACAGATCTAACTTAGTTCTATCATATTTGTATTATTTCTGCTGGCTGTTGCTCATGGTCCATTGTTTCCTATGTGTTTTGTGACTTTTTTTGACCATGTATTCATATTCCTTGGAACTCTGTGGAATTATTTGAGACTTCCAGTTAGAGTGGGGCTTCCCTAGTAGCTCAGATGGTAAAGAATCCGCCTGCAGTGTGGCAGACCTGGGTTGGGAAGATCCCTGCAGGAGGGCATGGCAACCCCCTCCAGGGTTCTTGCCTGCAGAATCCCATGGACAGAGGAGCCTGGCAGGCTGCAGTCCACGGGGTCGCACAGAGTCGGACACGACTGAGTGGCCAAGCACAGCACCGTCAGTCAGAGCGAGTTCCTCCAGGGAGGACCCCGTTTGCTTCTGCTGGATGTTGAGGGACAATATCAGCATGTGATTAATTCAGAGCAATTCTTAGCCTTGAGGCTTTAACATTCACACACAGTATGAACGTAGACCACAAGCATGAGTGCGGACGGTCTTAGAGCTACACCTGGTGCAATATCATGTCCCACTCATTCACCCAGTTCCAGAATTAGAATAATAAGCCAAAGCAACACTGTCTGTTTCTGAGAGTGGGTTTATTTCTGGATCTCCTTTCCTCTGACGACGTGTCTGTCTAGGTTCCCAGCTTTATGTGAGGGTCTCCTGGAAGTGTGCCCTCTTGGGGGCCCTGCTGGTGCGCTTGAGAGGCTGTCTAAGCTGACCAGCCTGCGGGGCTGGCAGACGCCTGCTTGCTCACCTCTGGAGTCCTGCGTCTTATTCATTTTTACCTTCTAAGGATTGAAAAAAAATTTTTTCTTACTGGTTTAACAGTGTATTTTAATAGCTTTTGTTTAAACATTTTACATAGCTTTTTGTTTTTTTAAAACAAATTTGGGAATTTGTTAAGAATATCTAGGCTGTCTCACCTGGACTACTGGACTTGGGGGTTTAAGGTGATTTTTAAAACACTGAAATTAATTAAAATGCTGCTATGATGATCAGTGAGAAGAAAAGTTTACAAATTATAAAAAGTATGAGCACATCTCTAAAAACATCTAGAGAGCCCTATATTCAGAGGAAATCATTTTAAACACAGTGGCTGCTTCAAGGAGGTTGACTATTGGGTGACTCTCCTTTCTTTTATTTCTCCCTTTGTAGTTTTTCA